CTATATATATAGATAGATATCTATATATATAGATAGATATCTATATATATAGATAGATATCTATATATATAGATAGATATCTATATCTATCTATATATCTATATCTATCTATATATCTATATCTATATATCTCTATCTCTATCTGGAGGAGAGAAGCCAAACATTCCTGTCGGCTGGACAACACTGTATATAGGAGAATGTATCTTCATCACAAGTCCCCTTTAGTCATTAACGCTTGTGCCTGCAGAATACAGGGAATGAGATCAGCTGTATGAACTGGGACAAAGTGAAGCAACAAACGAGAGGTGTTATAGAGACTTGCTGTTTCAAGCAACTTTTTATTGTTTAAATATGCTGTCCTTGACCGAGGCACCTGCGGGTAAGAACACTTTTTTTGATGTCATATCTCGACAGGCGCATTCCTCAGTGCAGAGTCATTGTATTGTACAGTTTTTGATGCCATTTGTCTTTCCACGTTACAATTTATAAACGAGGCGGAAATATCCTTTATTTGTACAAAATGTCGAACGGTGTCGTTTTCAGGACCAGCAGTTAGCCTCTTCAGTAGCAGTACTGGACTTTATTGAATGTACTAAAAGACATAGATATCATTGGCTCGGCTGCCTGTCATCCATTCCCCTCCAGTATAAAAAGGAGGGCATAACTAGTTTTTCTCCCATGCTCAGCAACAACACATAGACCTCTTAAGAATTTAGTCTGTTTTTTACTCTTTACATTTCCCCCTTTTTTCCGCTGAAATGACCAGAAAGGGAAATTGATTGTACTGCAGCGAGTCTGATTGAATGACTCGATGCATCTGTCACCACCACCCCCGCCCCCCCCCCTTTCCTCCTGCCTTTTTATAGCTAAGGAGCTTCATCATTGTCATCTCAACCTTTCAACACATGCTCTCCAGCGCCACGTGTTCCTTTGTTTGCCGTTTCCAATTTATAAATAGGAGCCGTGTTTTTGCTGGAGGTGAAGCGGTTCTGTCCGTTACTTTGTGCATCCTTGATTGGTTGTGTACGATTTTCAGGGATTGTTGAGGAGGAGGAGACGGGCTGTGGATGAAGGATGAAGGGGAGAGGGTCACATTGGATCTGTTACAGAAATCAATTTCAGTGGAGAGGTGATGACATCAACCTCTTGCAGCTCCTGGACGGAAACGTTTCACTTGCTGTGAGACTTGGTGCCTTTTTATCTTTTGTGGTGCAAAACACTTGAAACATTGGATCCTCTTATTTGGGGAAATTACCCAGATTTCCCTGTCGATTTAGGGCCTTATGATTCTGTTTAAGGTATTTCAAACCTGAATGTCTTACTAGTGGAAAGATGAATTGATGCGTATAGTGTCTTGGCAAAACAAATATAGCAGATGTACTGAAATTGCTGACATTTTTTATTTTTCCCAGGAGGGGGGGGGGCGACAGCATAAAAATATAATATTCCTCATTAGTGCTTTTCACCTGTGTTTAGAAATGGTTTCTTTTCGAGTTTCTACTCATTCACAGAGCTGTAGTTTCCGTGAAACTGTCGTAGCATAAACCACAATATATATCGGGCATCTCTTAACAGTAGCATCATGTGGAAAAGGTCCTGTGTGAATAATACTATAGCAGGATTGTGCATCACATCGTCAATACTGTCATGTTTACCAGCGTCATTGAGCTGTGCTCGGTTCAAACCGTCACATTTTACTTGTGCAAGGAGCTGGGGAAGACAAAAGGAGAAAGTCAGGTGTTAGGCCAGAGTGCTGCTGAGTGCTGACACCATCAAAGACTTTCTTGCTCAACTCTCCTCTTATTCCCAGTTCTATGTTGTTTTGTATGTCCCTCCTCACTGCCAGTGATGCTCTGTGGATGTCGATGGAAATGTTTTCTTTTGTTACAGGTACTCACTAGACTGATGTGCATTTATACCTCAATTTACACAGGTTATGTCAGGCTTGGGTCATATGTAGAAGTATTAAATTAATATTTTTATTGTTCATATACTACATCATGCCACTGTGACAACACCTTTAATCAGTTGAGATATACTGGAAATGGCTGGCTAAAGATTAGGCAGGCAGGTTTTTTATTTTAGCAATGTTTGTATGTGATTTTAGATTTCAAATGACACTCCGATCAGACAATGTGATGATGCATGTAAATATTTTCAGTCATGTTTTTTCTTTTTTGTTTGTATTGGCATGGACTTTATCTCGAACTATGTAGTTTCTTTACAGCCAAATGCATTCGAAATGTTTTTCCAGTTCATGTTGTGAATCATGACCGACCGTTGGCAGTATGACTGGCTGCTGTGCCTTAAACCTACGACTGAGGGACCAATGTTCCTTTTTATATAAAAACTTCTCAATAGTCTGTGCAATATATGCCTTAAACTTTAAATGTGTGTTTTGTATAAGCATTTCAAAGAAATAAAAGTTCAGTTTTTCATAATTGCCATTTCAGTGTTTTGTTGCCTATTAACGCTTAAGTTTATTTCAATTTAATTTTGTGAGAATAAATATATTGCAACATATTTGCTCAATCACTTTCTTACAATAGCCCTTTTTACACTAGGGTCCTGGTATTGTGCATGCTGACTCAGTCACATTGTCATCACTTACGGAGACACTGGAGGAGTGGCATGGTTAAATACTATCAATTAAAAATTGTTAAATATCATTTGTGCAATTAGTAAGTTCTTAAAAGTATATACAGTTGTGTGAAAAAGTGTTTGCCCCCTTCCTGATTTCTTATTTTTTTGCATGTTTGTCACACTTAAATGTTTCAGATCATCAAACAAATTTAAATATTAGACAAAGATAACACAAGTAAACACAAAATGCAGTTTTTAAATGAAGGTTATTATTAAGGGGGAAAAAAATCCAAACCTACATGGCCCTGTGTGAAAAAGTGATTACGCCCCCCCCCCCCCTCCTCTGTTAAAACATAAATTAACTGTGGTTTATCACATCTTTGGAATGCTGAGTTCAATTTCTCTAGCCATACCCAGGCCTGATTACTGCCACACCTGTTCTCAATCAAGAAATCACTTAAATAGGACCTGCCTGACAAAGTGAGGTAGACCAAAAGATCCTCAAAAGCTAGACATCATGCTGCGATCCAAAGAAATTCAGGAACAAATGAGAAACAAAGTAATTGAGATCTATCAGTCTGGAAAAGGTTACAAAGCCATTTCTAAAGCTTTAGGACTCCAGCGAACTACAGTGAGAGCCATTATCCACAAATGGCGAAAACATGGAACAGTGGTTAACCTTCCCAGGAGTGGCCGGCCGACCAAAATTACCCCAAGAGAGCAGCGATGACTCATCCAAGAGGTCACAAAAGACCCCAGAACAACATCCAAAGAACTGCAGGCCTCACTTGCCTCAATTAAGGTCAGTGTTCATGACTCCACCATAAGAAAGAGACCTGGCCTGCATGGCAGAGTTCCAAGACGAAAACCACTGCTGAGCAAAAAGAACATAAAGGCTCGTCTGTTTTGCCAGAAAACATCTTGATGATCCCCAAGACTTTTGGGAAAATACTCTGTGGACTGACGAGACAAAAGTTGAACTTTTTGGAAGGTGTATTACATCTGGCGTAAAAGTAACTCGGCATTTCAGAAAAGGAACATCATACCAACAGTAAAATATGGTGGTGGTAGTGTGATGGTCTGGGGCTGTTTTGCTGCTTCAGGACCTGGAAGACTTGCTGTGGTAAATGGAACCATGAATTCTGCTGTCTACCAAAAACTCCCGAAGGAGAATGTCTGGCCATCTGTTCGTGACCTCAAGCTGAAGCGCACTTGGGTTCTGCAGCAGGACAATGATCCAAAACACACCAGCAAGTCCACCTCTGAATGGCTTAAGAAAAACAAAATGAAGACTTTGGAGTGTCCTAGTCAAAGTCCCGACCTGAATCCGATTGAGATGCTGTGGCATGACCTTAAAAAGGCGGTTCATGCTCGAAAACCCTCCAATGTGGCTGAATTACAACAATTCTGCAAAGATGAGTGGGCCAAAATTCCTCTACAGCGCTGTAAAAGACTCATTGCCAGTTATCGCAAATGCATGATTGCAGTTGTTGCTGCTAAGGGTGGCCCAACCAGTTATTAGGTTTAGGGGTCAATCACTTTTTCACACAGGGCCATGTAGGTTTGGATTTTTTTTCCCCCTTAATAATAAAAACCTTCATTTAAAAACTGCATTTTGTGCTTACTTGTGTTATCTTTGTCTAATATTTAAATTTGTTTGATCTGAAACATTTAAGTGTGACAAACATGCAAAAAAATATAAAATCAGGAAGGGGCAAACACTTTTTCACAACTGTATCTGCTGGGAAAATTTATAAAATTAACAATCTCCCACTTTTTTTTAGTAAATATTTTGTAATTTTTCTTCTGGGAGCAATTGAAAAAATATAGGTGATGTCACAATTATGTGCACCAATCAGGATTGATCAAATATTTTAATCTGAATCTACAGACATTTGTTGGGTTGTTCAGCCACCTTCAATCAAACTACACCCAACAGTCCTGATAAAGCAAATTTGTTGTTTGAGAATATCACCACTTGCAGTAGTGAACATTTAATTAGATTAACATTGAAAAGTTGAAATTAAATTTCCAAGTTTGAGCTGTATACATGACCATGAATGCACTGTTTTTTGGTAACTGGTCATAGTGCAAAGTACTGCTTTGTTGGACAAAGCTCTAAAACTAAAAGCACCGATGATGAAACCGTGAGTAAGTAGGAGACACTCGCTTGAAAAACATGGTGCAAACACACATTGACACTGTTCTTCCGATCAACAACATGAATAAACTTTATTTGCCTGAGCAACAGTTCAAGCCTGAATTCCTTCAACAACACAAACTTGCCTGCTCCTTCAAGTACACGCTGATGGGACCAACAACCAGCTGATGGGAAAAACAATTCAGTATAAAAGCGCTCATTGTTTTCTTAAGCAGAAGCACTCCACTTTCAATGAACACAATCAGAATGATCAGATTTCTTTTTATCCATTTTTAACGCAGGAATACAAATATTACAGGTATGGAGACTTGTTGCAGTGCGGTAGCTAATTGGCAGGTAAGAGGTAAACATTGCTGGTACTGTATGTGGCACCGAATCTTACAGTCCAAAAGCACCCCGCGCAAACACACGTGATGATGCATCCAACCAGCAGTCAATGAAGCCGCAGCAGACTTGTAGCTATGAGATGCAAATACACCTCTTCATGGTAATCAATGATATATATTTCCGTGGATCCCAAATGAATCCCAAGCTCCTACCTTTAATACACATGTTTAAATCTCCATAACTTCAACACAATGGACACTTGATAATGTGTCTTTCAGTTTCTCTAAAACCTACAAGGTACATAAAAAGGTAGGAACTAAGGGTTGATTTGTGGTAGAGTATGTGTGCGGGGGGGCCCCCAAGGAAGTCGGTGTCTCCCTCTACTCGTCATCCTTGTCTTTGGCGCCGTGTTTGAGGATGCGCGTGAACTCTGCGTAGTTGAAGTTGCCCTTCTTGTCAATGGGTGCCTCGCGGAACAGCTCGTCCACATCTTCGTCTGTGAAGCGGTCGCCCATGGTGGTCAGCAGCTCCCTCAGATGGTCCTCGTGGATCACACCTTGGGACACAGGTAAGACCCATTGAGCTCCAAAAACACCGACAGTGAAAAAGTGCCATGAACTTTTGTTACCAGTATTGCGTTTATGCTGACTCACCAGATCCTTCCTCATCAAAGCAGGCGAAAGCGTTGCGAATGACGTCCTCGGGGTCCGTTCCGTTGAGCCTCTCTCCAAACATGGTGAGGAACATGGTGAAGTTGATGGGCCCCGGTGCTTCGCTCATCATCCCCTCCAGGTATTCATCGGAGGGGTTCTTACCTGAGGACGAACAACACGGTTACATGCATCGTCTTTGTCTTGGGACTACAAAAAACAACCAGGAAGTGTTTCCTTGTGCTTCTAGAAGAACCCTGCTGCTATAAACAGTGGTCAACTTATTTAGTTGTGAAGAACTAATTAAGAACGCAATCCAGCAGTTTTAAAAGGAACCTTTCGTAGCCACATAAAAGCAGTGCGATATTTATGATTTGAAACCTGCACTTGTAGCCATAAAAACTATAGTGTAGCGAGAAGATACCAGTTTACCCAGAGAGGCCAGCATGTCATGCAGATCCTCCTTGTCGATGAAACCGTCTCTGTTCTGGTCAATCATGTTGAACGCCTCTTTGAACTCCTGGATCTGAGACTGGTCGAACATGGCGAAGACGTTGGAGGTGGCCCTCTGAGGACGCTTCTTGGTGGTCTTCCCCTTGGCACGCTTGCTCGACATGGTGGCGGCTGGATCTGGGCCTGTGCAGATTCAAAAATGCACGACTCATGGATTAGATTGCAATAATGCTGCACCATCAGGAATTGCATGGCTTTAGGTATATTGCCTGTTACCACAGCTTGACATGAATACCGATTTCAGCATCCATTTGAAAAGACGAGTTGAATTGTGTGCATATTTTGCCGTTCTGAAAGCTGGGATGCAGCCATGTGGCTCTTTTATACGTTCTCTTCGGTTTGCCCCAAGCAGGAGAATCTTTTTCTCCAGCTTCCTCTAGAGAGAGAATCACACTCTCGGGTACAGTGATGGGTGTGAAAATGACAGGTCTCCACTGTGCACACTGCAGCTAACTTCAGATCCTTCCAGAATTAGACATGTCACTCATGTTCAGGTTTGCAAGGATTTGTCCTGCGTATGTGTGTTCTGTGATTGTGTTGTACCCAGTGGGAAATAGCAGACAGAAGACGGACGGACAGGCTGGACAGGCAGGAGGGAGCAGGTGAATGTGGCTGATTAGTCGCATACGAGGTATGACGTGATGCCTTGACAGGCGCTGAGGTGAAGATAATTTATTCAGTGTGAGATTGCACACCCTTTCCTGAAATGCGGGGTTTTGTTTCCAGTCTTAATATACACCTTGAAAATTACATAATTAAGCCACGTTTCTCAGATGTAGAAGTATGTACATGCTATTTTGTTGTATTATCTTGTCCGCGATATTTGGCTTCAGTGGAAGAGCATGTCTCAAATGCATCTTCAAATGTGCTGTGCTTAGACCTTTACCGGAAAGCTACAGCAATCCCCAAAGTGTGGATCATGTCCAGACAAGTCACTTCCTCTCAAATATTAGGTGGCAAGAGAAAAACCCCTCAAATAAACACAAACGTTTTTCAGGATAAGACAGATAGTAGATGTCATTTTGTAAAATAAAAGTAAGTATTGATCTTCAGTGGGCTCAGGTAATTAAAATGTGATGTTACAATAGGCAGGCTTCATTTTCAATCATTTAAATCAACAAAGAATTGATATAACATGCCATCCAGTGTCTGTCTCGGAGTAAACTAGAGCACATATTTACTACAAATTAAAATAATTCTTCTGGTTACCAACATTTCAACACATTTCTGTATTTTAAGAGTAAAATACTTCTACATCCATGTATTTTATAGCACATTACAGTAAAAGGCAACACTGCAGTGTGATCCACCACTTATAAATAGCTCTTCCCTGTCCGATATTCACCAAATCTCTGTCTCCAAATGACACGTTCATCATTTTTAATGGGCTGGAGTAGTCCTATACGCGTCTGTCACAGCTGTCATGATTGCACTCAGAAAAGTTAGTGAAGGCAGCGTTGAGCAGCTTTGAATATCAATTTATCTTGAATCTATAGACATTTCTTTCTCAGTTGGTCTCTATACAAATGAATGCTACTGTATCACTAGGGCAGAATTATAACGTTTATTGTCGATGCAAATTAGTGTGACCAGCCGGTTCTGTCCAGAGTTTATAATCTTGATGAATAACTGGATCGTCCACAGTAACATTTACATAAAATACATTAAATCCAAAAATGGATCTGTGCGTTTGACTTTTCAGTATTAAAAAGGTTACAGGAAGCAAATTCATGTACTTGCTCACAATACCAAACACACCCACAGTTTGTATCAGCGGTGACTCCACTCTTTATTGTCTCACACTTGCAGACACATGTTGGATCAGTCTCTCCTTTCATTCCACTACCGTTTGGCTCCTTGTGTCCCGTCATGTGCCAGAAAATAGAAGAAATCTGGAAGGTGTGTGCTTTTGGCCCACAGCCCTTCCATTCTCCATTTAACAGTTGCAGAGGAAGCTGGAAACAAAACAGCGTTTAGCTCCAATTTAAGGTTCCTGGGAAGAGAGGAATTCCACGGACTCATTCTTGTTTGGCTCCTCTGATACAGTACAGTAGGGCACTGTTTCCTGGAGAGGCTGGTCGTCCGTTTCAAGCAATCAATAAGATAAGATTCTTTGACTTGTGTGATTATTAAAACAACCTAATGTCCAGGTGCCGTAGCGACTGCTGAAATCTTCTGCACAGAGTGAATCAACGAGGATTCACAAAGAGGCCGAGAACAAATAGTTTTGGGACTTCAGCGACGTCAGCATTTGGCTGACATGCCTCAATTGTATTTGTTCTCTGTCCACCACAAGTCCTCTGTGAACCCTTTCATCCAGTGGGACGACAAAGCTTCTCTGTCCCTTCACCCAAGCAAGAACACACAGACACACACACTTTGATATCAACAGTCAGGCTGTCATCCTTCACTCTCTAATGCCAAGCCTCGTAGGTCACCACTACTCAAGTGAAGACTGAAACGCCACCGGTCAGGAATTCCCAAAACAAACAGAGTACAGTGGAAGTTAATCTCTCATCGCCTATTAAAAGACAACATCAGAGGCGCGCATGCGTGTGTGTGTGTGTGTGTGTGTGTGTGTGTGTGTGGATGAGATCTAAATGAGTCATTTGCATTCAGAAATTCCTCTGTCTAATGTGCCGTAATGATGAGGTAGAAGTACACGACACATGTATACAGTACATTTACACTGCATACACAAACAAATACACAGATCTAAGATGAATAACAAGTCTCTGTTCATGTTGATCAAAAGATGAAAAAAAGCAATATTGGAACTTTATCAAAGATCCACTGATCCTCGGTAACTTTATCCTCTCCCTCACTCTCAGCCCTGATAGTAGAGCATTGTACCACTGAGCGCTTACACATTCTGTCCTTTCTTAAAAAAACAAACAAAAAAAAACAAAACACATCAAATATGAGCTTTTTAACACTTTGTATGCATGATAATGTGCAACCCAGTGGTAAAATCAGCTTTCTTTCTCACCTTGGCTTCAGGTAAGAAATATCTGGAAGTCCCTCAATCTCCTTTAGTCTGGGTCCAACACAGCAGTGCGAAAGGGAAGCAGGCAGTCCTCCTGAAAAGTTTGTTTAAAGAATCAGACTCCCGGTGGGTCCCTCCCCCTTTCGGCCCCGGCCAATGGAGAGGACGGCATGTCCCATACAAAGACATCTCAGGCCAGGCCGTTTCTCCATACAAGGCAAAAGAATGCACGGGCTGCAGCTTGCTACTGCCACAGACGCTGCTCGGGATGTTTGGGGAAAAGGCAGAAATGACAGGAACTACGATAAGGCTGCCTTATTTAGAGAAAAGGGCCCAAACATTTAGAGAAGCCTTTGTGTGCTGGAGAGTTGTGAGCAGATGCAGAGCAGTTTAGAAAGCCAGTGTGTTTCTGTTGTAGGGCCGTGGCTCTCCTTAAATAGGCAGCTTGGCTGGCCATCACTGGGGCCTGTACGTGAAGGGAACACCTTAAGTTATGTCATTGAGTTAACATACAAACCTACTTGACAATTATTCACTGTTAGAAAATCGGCACTGCTGCAGCTTTAGGAGTTGTAATTTTTGATGTTAAGATGTTAAGATATTGATGCTTACTGTCTTGATGGAATAAATTCATGTGTAAAATATTCATCTCCTTAATTGGGCAGTGCATAATGTAAGCACAAGAGTAGCGTATGTTTTTATTTTGGTATTTACTTTAATTGCAAATAATATGCATGTTTTTTTTGCAACCCCATAGCCCTTTTTTTATTCTGTGTCCATTTTAAAGGTATAACATGTCAAAAATGTGTTTTTATTTAATTGTTAAATTACCATTTAGTCATTTCAGTGTTGCTGTGATGGTCATGATAAAGTTCTTTGATAAAAGTACTCAGCCTTCTGCACATTGAAACTTTGATTTGCAATTTACAACATAGCTCTATGCTCGTGTCTTTCATCTCTCTTTCATTAGACTGAGTGTGTATTCTAAGAATATATATATAAAATATATTCATATTGTTTTTTTATCAATAAAACAGAAAATCATCTGTTTTGGTTAAGCAATGCAGCATTCCCACATTTTAGTAAAAATGTAGAGATAAAGTATTGTTATTTTATTGAGTTGAAATTATGGAAAAATAGATACAGAGCATGCGTTAGGTCAAAGAAAGGAGGCGTCTGAGGCTGTGTTCAGGTGCAGTGATGCCCTCTGCTGGACCACACTAGTTATCATTTCTGAAATACTGAAAACCTGTGAATGGATGATGATGAGGACTAAAATAACGTCGGGGGGCTGTGAAACTGTTCTGACTGGCTGCATACACATGAAGTTGTGACGCACACATATGATGCATATGCAAATACTTTTTACAGTTCATTATATGCACATACAGAAACAAATATCTCACAGTTGGTAGTGTTACAGTTATCTCTTGCTGTCTGTAATTTATTCAGTTAGTTGCTCACAACGTATATTGATGTCAATCCACAGTTAATGCAGTGTAACTTACATAAAGTAGCATGCTTTATGAATCATAAATCATCATGTGACAGATATTTATATACATAGCTTTACACCATGCCCTTTTTCTTTGAACCAAACTGCATGCGTCTTCTTTTTGGCACTATTGCATCAGGAGCTCCTGTATAACAGCACAGTCTTTGCCACTAGCTTAGTTTAAAGATGTCTTTAGCAGGGTGACACCTGTGGATTCACTGGCTAGAGTAGCTTCCACCCAGAGACTAAATTTAGCTCAACAACATCATCTGAATCTGCTAAGAACAGAGCAGACACTGTTGGGTCTGCTGTTTGATCGAGCTGTTGTATGGCAGCCCATAGTCTACCATAAGCACCAATTTATTTTACTGTCCTCTGATATGTAACATACACTTCATGATGTAATGTGAAGACATGTTGAATGTAAGAGTAAATACATATCCATGCATCTCAAATAAGTTATGTATTGCATCACCGGAGATGAGTCTTTCATCAAAAAGCAGAATTTGTCAGGTGACTTTGAGTTAAACTTTATGCATCAGTGTCGAGGTTCTAACTCATTTGTTTGAGGCTCTGTTTTCAGAAATAGAGCAGGCAAAATTAACATTTGCCAGATATAAGTATGTTCATGTTATTTTTATGTATTTTATAATTGTAAAATATCATTATTACTTGTTTATTTCTTATCTTATATTCGGATGACAATTTAAACTCCTAAAGAATATGCAGGTATGCATCATTGACCGCTTTGTTTACAAATGAACGCTAGAGGCGGGTCATGTTTCTTTTCCTCTTTGCCCATTGGCTGTTGGAGTGTCTGATTTGTGTTCCGCGCATGCACAGTAGACTAGGAAGCGTCCGAGAATGGCTGTTATTCTCTCACTCTGAAAAACTGACCCGAAAGGTAATCTGCTCTCTCTCTCTCTCTCTCTCATCGAAAGAACAGACTGTCTGCCGTGGAAAGATGTTATCTAGCCAGAGTTGTGTCCGTTTTTAAGACTATTTTTTTTTTTACTTGTTACACATCGTTCAAGACAAGTCTGTTAACGATGTTTCACCACTGAGTTCCTGTCAAACAAAGCGAATTCTTCCTGAAGTTGTGAAGGGTGAATACGTGGCTCTAGCTGGGTCGTGAAGAGGACGCGTCTCTAGTACTTAAAACATTTTGAATTAACGGGAGAGGACGTTTGTTTCTTTGCTGCTGTTGTAGCTGAGTTTCAGTTGCCAACACAGGTTTGCGCCATACGGTGACACGTAAAAGCCGTTGCGGAAGTTGTTTGTGGTTTAGTTGTATTTTACGGTTTAAAGCTGAATATATCTGTCTTTAAAATCTTATTTCAACTTTTTGGTAAAATTGCTGTCTTTCACTGAGTTCTTCACACGACTTCCACCAATTGAGGGACCGAGTCTTTCAGCGATGGTAACAGAAATGACGTGTTCATCAAATGTGACGTATGCGGAAATGTCTTGAAGTGGAGCAGTGTGCAAGAGAAGAAGAAGGCAGATGTGATTAACCGCATTGAAGTGAGGGAACCTCTGTGTGTCTGTGGGCAAAGGTCGTTAAAAGCCAAGACTGCTCTCTACACACACTTGGCTTTTTATTGACATTTGGAAATAGTGTGTGAATGAGTGATTGAATTTAATGTGTCAACCAGTGCTGAAATAGTCAAATGATCCCATTTTCATAGTTGGTTTAAGCGTTAAGGTATTTGATGAAGCAAAAGCAAAAGTCATACTTTTGCTTTATCACCGCTCAGAACTTCATTTAGAAAATTAACATCTTTCCGTTTGTAGGTCAGAAAAAACGAGACATTTGAAAATGTCATTTTTTTCCCCACTATTTTTTGACATGTCATAGACAAAAAGAGGAATCAGTTAATTAAAAAAAGAGAATCTACACATTAATACATGATGAAAACAGTGATTGTGCAGCCCTAGTATCATCGTCATCAGTTTGGATTGTGAAGCTTTGAGTTATGCCAGGTTGCACATGAGGGATAACTCACTCTGTGTTTAATACATTAGAGGCGACATTCTGCTGCAGATGGAAGCATTTGATCCTTTTACATCAGTGGATGTAAAAGTCTTTCCCCCTCTGTCATCCGTCTACTGCCCTACATTTTGTCGTCACTCACTGCCATTGTCTGCCGGCGGCCTTTTGTTCCTCTTACTTTCTAAATACAGCTGACCTGGCAGTTTCAGTCAAGCATCACTCCAAATCGAATTTTCGGATAGAGAGGCCCGACTGGGTACAGAAAAAGGTAATTCACATCAGAAGGCCGTGATGAGCTCCGCTCATATTTTACATTCAGGGATAGGCCAGAGTGTTGGCTGATGAGCTACAGCAACGCCCACGACATCTCCTTTTGTTCGACATTGCTTTATAACTTAGGCCTACCCTTCTATTGTGTCCTCCTCCACAGACAGTGATGACCATCACAATCTGCAAGTTATTTGCTTGAGCTCCTCCCAAGTCCTCTTCGCCTATGAAGGATTTTCCCGCGTTGGTAGAGCACGGGCTGCTGGAGAGTCCCCTCAGCGTCGATGGCCCAGAGAGCTGTGGTCAAGCCCAGAAACTCTGTGGTCGATCAGTTTGTGTGTGTGCGTGCGTTTGAATAGCCTTTCAGAAAGTGCTGGTCTGGCTGTCACGTGCAGTGCAAGTGGCGAAGTATGAATTCGGTGTGACAGGAGGGGATGTATGTGCTTGTGAAATTGCGTGAGATAGAGGAAGCATCGGTGTGTGTGACTGAATATACTAGGACTCTCTCATAGATTTGCTATATTTTGCATCCCGAGCTTAGGACAGATATTTTCTCGACCGTACGATCTTTTGTAGCTACATCTCGGATGTCAAAGCTAACAAAATGTTAGCATTACATCTACGGACAGATATGGGGAGAGGGGGTGTCGGGAGGTGTTAAGCGGCCTTAGCCTGGAGAATTCAGCCGAGCATTCTGGGGGATGGAGTTGACCGGTTCCTGTGGTGGAAATGGGCGTAAAGTTTCGTGAGTTCCAGTGGTGGGGAAAGCCTTTATAGTGGTGCCGTATGGCAGGAGGGAGGTCAAGGGAACATCTGCATCCTTCACTGTGGGTAAGACGTGAGACTGGTAATGTGGACTCTAGACGGATGATATTGTAGACGGGTGTGATTCATTGTGCAGGTGTGTGTGTGTGTGTGTGTGTGTGTGTGTTAAGTCACTCTATGGTTTCTGGACTAAATTGGGTTATTGGTTGGGTTGTTAGGAGCATATTGTGAGGCTCAGTTGAGTCTGACAGATCCTGAAAAGTCTTGTCTCTTGGGATCAGTTTGCTAAACATTATGAGCGTCACAGAGGTATTTACTGCCATGTTATGGTTCATTTTTCAACCAAACTGATAAACTAACTTTGGTAAATTATCTAGAATGTGTGTCCTTTTGCTCCTGGTCTGGCGTTAGTCATGTAGGGTGTGTAGTGAACCTTTTTCTCATAATTTTCAAGATAATGTCTTCTTCAGTTCCTGTTGTCTCGTAGTGACAAACACCTTGATGAGTGTCACCTTCCCTCCCGGCTGTCGCCCTTTGGCCCGTTAATCATGACCGAGATCCGATTCCAAAGGTCTGTACGGTTTAGTCGAAACATTGTAAAAGCCTCCTTTGCAGTCGTTCAAGGGACGCACTTCAGGTTGAACAGGTTTGAACTAAAACTCCGTTTGCTGACAGGGAAATGTTCTAAATTGAGTATTTTAACACTAAATGTAGTACATGCTGAATGTGTTGTCTTGAATGTCACCTGCTTTTTAGTTTGCTCGATTGGAAGTTATAATTGTTTTGATTTGCGGCTTCTATGTTAACTATTGACGTGTGTTGTCGAGTGCTGCCGACAGACGCTGTGAGGAAAGGATGAAACCGCAGACAACAGAGAACACTGAATGCAGACACTTGTGGCTCCTCTGTCACAATGACCCCGTGGCCTCTCTGTTCTCACTTCTTGTTTTATTCTTCTTTTTTCTTTCCAGTCCCAAACCATGAATATCGTGGGCCAGATTGCGGAGACGGTGTTCGTGACGGTGAAGGAGCTCTACCGGGGCCTGAACCCCGCCACTCTCACCGGAGGCATCGACGTCATTGTGGTGCGACAGCCGGACGGATCGTTCCAGTGTTCTCCCTTTCACGTCCGCTTCGGCAAGCTGGGTGTGCTGCGCTCCAAGGAGAAAATTGTCAGTGCTTTCTCTGTCTTCATCTCATTCCTTTAACGACAGTCCTACTACAGTTCTGTCGTTGACGCATACATGTGATTTTAGGTGGACATTGAGATAAATGGAGAATCGGTTGACCTGCACATGAAGCTGGGGGACAATGGAGAAGCTTTTTTCGTGGGGGAAAATGAAAACGAGGTAAGACGACCAACATTTTCTCAATTCCTTGGCAACATTGCATCAGTTTTGGGCGGTTTGTTTATCTATAGCCTACATTGTAAACTTCTCTTTCTTTATCGCCCTCAGTCCCAGGTCCCAGCCCATCTGTGCACCTCGCCGATTCCTCTCGAGAACCCCGAGGAGATCGAGGAGACCCCTGAGGGATCCTCCGTCGCCCGCAGGAAGAAACGCCGTCGCAAGCGCATGCGCTCTGATACTCACCTGAGAGAAGAGGCCAGCTCCTCGTCGGATGAGAGAAAACGAGAGAAGGAGTGGGAGAGAGAGAGCGATCCGGCCGGTCAGGAGAGTCCTGCTAAGGAAGAGTCCGTCATGGCGCTGCACATGAGGTCAGTGGTCATAGAAGAGGAAAGAGGGAGTCGTGGTTCAGTGTTCACACTGTCAAAGTTAACCCAGTAGCTCAACAATATCTTCTTGCTTGTGTTAAAGTAAATCGGTGTACTACTCGCTGTCTGAGGAGCCCAATGAGGTGCTGGGGGCCTCACAGACCAGAGACACTCGTCACCCTCACTCAGACGGAGAGCAGTCACCCTCGGAGAGGTGAGGAAGGTTCATATTGAAGAGGAATTCATTGATTGATGCGTTTGTTTGCATTGAGCAGCTTCACTGTGGCAGTCTGAGAAACTGCGTCAGTCGAAATCCCGATTAGTTCAGTTTATTGATCTTTTTGCTCTTTATCTTATCTTTCTCCTTCACAGCAGTGTGTTCTACAGCCGGCCATCCTCTCCTAAGAGCGACTCAGAGCTTCTGGTTAAACCCCAAGAGTCCTCTGGGCCTCAGATGCAGTGGAACTGGGGAGGGTTTCCCATGGTATGGTAACACACACACACACACACACACACACACATATATACATATATATATATATATATATAAATATAAATGTGCTTTTACTGCCTTCCCATGCTGTAGTAGTTGAGATCATCATGCTGACACACTGTCTCAAATTGCTCCCGAACAGCCGCGTCAATCTGAGAGGACACCAGTGGAGTTGCAGCACGTCTCCCCTTGTGACTGTTCTCACTTCCGCACCATTGAGAGACAGGACTCCTTTGACATGGGCCATGAGCCTGTGATCAGCTGTGGCAGAGCAGGCAGCGTAACAGTGGTCAGGCCGCAGCCCAGGACTCAGTCCCTAGACCTATGTAGCCACACAATGCAAACCTCCCCCTTATCTGGGGAAGAAAACTCTCACATTGCATATTCCTCCCCCAGTGACCTCTCCAAGTCTTGTGCATCACCAGCGAAGATGGACGTGACACAGGCAGTAGAATCCACGTCACGGGAAGAGGTGAACAGAGACTCATCTGCTAATCGAATGAACGGCACAATCGGTGTTGAGCACATTAGCACCGCGACTGACAGTGTGACCGAACCAGACAACGCACAGATACAACTCATAAAAGAGAGCGAAGACCGCACGGTCACTGCAACAAGTAGTACAGAGTTGTCTAATCCACAACAGCAGGGCGCCTCGGCGGAACAAAGCGAACAGGGTACCACGAGCAGTGTCCCCGTCAGCGAGGGGGACAGCGGGATAGATCCCTGTGCTGAGGGAGGGGAGGAGGACGGCGGACCTGGAGGGACTGAAGGGTCGCCGACCAACAAAACCGAGGAGTCGGCGAACTCCTCCGAGGCATCCTCCAAAGTGGAACAACAGGACAAGAAGAAAGGTGTGGCACGTTTTTTTCTAAGCTCTCTCATTTATGTTGCTTACATTTTGTTAAGTTGTTGTTGTTGTCGTGTCCTTTTGTTGCAGGCAAACGCAATCACCATCTAGGACCAACTGGTATTTACTTGGATGATCTGACCACGTTGGAACCCAAGGTGGCTGCGCTCTACTTCCCCAAGAGGTAACCAAAGACACAGAGCAGCACAACTTTAATTATGTATGCAATCCCCATCTACAAATGAAGAAACAAAAATGTTTGCAATTTTAAAAAAAAAATAAAAAAATAAAAATCACTTACAGATCAATGAACTTAAAGGCAGTGATGACACTAATTCCCACAGCGTGAAACAACTCAGCGCAGCATGATCATTGGGTTACTATCTATGAAATGTTTCTCTTTATTGGGGTAAAATGGAGTGTCTGTGATCCCTTTGCAGTGAAGCGGAGGGAGCGTCTCAGCAAGGGGCCGACCAGGGCTCCTTCTCCGGGAGCCTGTCGCCTCAGTCGGTGGGCAGCGGGGCCATGGACAGCGGTACGGAGTACCTGTCAGATTCCACATCCTACAACATGGACATCAGCATGTCTATCTGCGGACAAGAGGGGGACACCAGCCACATCACCAAAGGCAAGTGAGAGTGAGTGCGTGCACGCCGGTGGGCTGCATGCGCGCAATGTGTGCCGGAATATAAAGGAACAGACAGGTTCTCCGAGTGGAGTAACATCAGTTGTCATGTTGCTTTTGTCGTCGATCCAGAAAAGTTCATGGCGCACATTGTGACGTACCAGGATTTTGCCAACAATCCAGGAATCATTGAGGATCCAAGTCTTGTGATCTGCATCAACTCAAAGTGAGATTACAATTTGCATTATAACATTAGTTGGGTCTGTGTTTATGTATGAGGATGTGTTCTTGTATGGTCATTTTTAAACAAGTTCTTGTCTGTGATTGTTCATCAGCTGCCTTTCATTCATGTCATCCCACAGCTATTATAACTGGGCGGTGGCTGCTCCCATGGTCTTGTCAATGACAACGTTCCAGAAAAGCCTCCCCAAGGTATTTCACTGTTTCTACACTGGATTGCAATCATTTTCATTATTAAGGCTTCCTTTATTCCCAGTTACAAACATCAGTGAGCAACTTACGACTGAGTTATTATATTGATTCTCAAGTTAACAGCGCGAGACGGATAAGACCGTAGTTACCTGGTGAATATGATGACGGTAGTCGTATAAGCATTGCCTTGTTTTTGTGCGCGTTTGTGCGTCTTATAGGGCGCGATAGAGCGGCTGGTGAAGGACAAGATGCCCAAAAAGTCTGGACGCTGGTGGTTCTCCTGGAGGAAACGAGACATGGACAATAACCAGGTACATTCTTAGGAGTTCCTGCTGATGGTCATTCATTGAGCAGGGATGGTGTGTAGTAGGTCTGGACCTTTGCCACTTGACATTGTTGTTGATTAGCATGTACTTGATAATGTAATCTCCTTGTTTTTTCAGCAAAAGATCTCAAAAGAGGGACAGGAGGATTCGCTGGTGAGTGATCTCTCCGCAGTAAAGTAAGTGAACTCACGAAGACATTTTCTAACACGAGTTAATAACCTTTACACATGCTGTGTTTCAGGCGCAATCTGGTCCCGCTGATCCACAGCTGTTCTCTCTCATGTTTGAGTGCACTTCAGGACAGGCAAACTTATTGCTGGAAAGATTAATACAATGACTGCCGGGATGCATTTTATCAGCTTTATTTGGTTGTCATAATGCTCATAATGGAACAATTCTGTAAATATGCCGAAGTCTTGGCCTAAAATCATGGCATTTCTTTTGTAGCTCACCAGGCAAATGTAAAAATAGAATTGAAGCAGCAAAAGATATTTGTACATTCCGAAATTTTAGCTAATTGTAGCTCCATTCTTTTCATCTAAATGTCAAATTAAGAATTTAACAGTGCTTGTATCACGACTACTGAATTACTTAAAATGTCTAAGGATCGTCTGTGGACACGATAGAATAAAACACAAAGCAGCACAGGGAGACCAGTCACAGTTGTTGCAAACTCTGCAAACATTTCATAGCTTGTATTTGTTACTTGCTTGTACTTTAGATGGATTTTATGTGGATATCTCACATAGGCTCCAAAACACAAGAACTGGTGAACTGGAGCAAACATAATTGGCATTATTAGATTAAGAAAAAGACAGTATTTTGTGTATCAATTCAAACTCTCATCATTTATTTTTATTTGCGCCTTCATAATGTGACAAAGTTATGTCCATATGTTACATTACTCAATAAATATTTTGAAAAACAATTGCCATGACACTCAACTAGGAGTCAGTGTTTGATCAATTTATGTTCAACACATCTGACAACCAATCAATGATGCAGATCACAATGTTCTCTTATTTTCTTGTACAAGTCACTAAATCATTTTTTTTTGTCAGTGTTTGTGAGTTATCAATTATCATAAGTGTGACGGAGAAATATAACTCCGATACAAGGTGTTTAATAGGATTTGTGTTGTTCCTCCAGAGCCACACTGGATGACATTGACAGCGATGAGGTGGCGGGCCTCGGCCGCAAAGCCATGATTCCTTCCAACCTTTCTACAGAGACCCTGAACGCCACTCAGTGTATCACCCAGATATACCGCAAATCACTGCGTCTGACCTCTGAACAGATAGTAAGACACACACACACACACACACGTATATGAAAAATATATCGAACTCTGCTGTCTAATGCGTGTAGAGGATGACCACTTTGTCCACTTAGCGCCGAGCTTACTCTCTCCTTTCTCTTAACCAGGAGCACTTGAACCTGCGTGAAGGAGCCAACAAAGTGGTTTTCAGTGTGACCACGCAGTACCAAGGCACCTGTCGCTGTGAGGCTGCTATCTACCTGTGGAACTGGGACGATCACGTCATCATATCGGACATCGACGGCACCATCACTAAGTAAAAGCAACTGCCTTTCCTTGCACGCTATGGTGTACAGATGGCCCAATAGACCATCAGATATAAAGCGATTCATAGAACCGGATCACTATGAAAGATGTAACTGTAGAACATTGTTTGAAGCTATATTGTGACATTGTTATGAGTGGTCTTCACCGTCTGTCTCCTGCAGGTCGGATGCTCTGGGTCATATTCTACCTCAGTTTGGAAAAGACTGGACACACAAAGGCATCGCCAAACTCTACCACAAAATACACCAGTATGTGAAGTTAATTATTTGGAAAATGAAATGAAAAATCAAAGAGTAAAAAACATGTGTTTTCCTTTTTTACCAGTGTCTTACTGAACCTTCACAGGCATTACTCCCACCACAACGAGCAACAACAGATGAAATGTATCGGCTGATGATGATTTCATCCTGACGCCATTCTAGTTGCAGCTGAGTGTCTAATCTGCATTGCCAGATGTTTTCCCGTTTGTCCCCGTTTTCAGATGCCTTATGTTCGGCTTTTAAAACGATCTCAGCTGTGGAGTTCATTTTAAAAAAAGATTGAATTCTGTCTTCTCAGCTTTTGTTGCACATATCCGAGGAAACGGGATGCAGCGCAACTGTGTCGTTGAACGTATTGATGAAAGTGTTCCGGAGCTTAATGCTGTAGATTATCTCAATTACAAGCAGAAGTGGAAAACACTTTTCTTATTTGGTTTTATTCAACTAAAATGCTAACAGATGGTTGCTCCTTGCCTTGCAGAAATGGCTATAAGTTCCTGTATTGTTCGGCACGGGCCATAGGTATGGCTGCCATCACTAAGGACTACCTTCAGTGGGTCAATGACAAAGGCATTGTCCTCCCTCAGGGCCCTGTGCTGTTGGCCCCCAGCAGCCTCTTTTCAGCACTACACAGGTAACCAATGAATCCTACTACTACTAAAACGCTGTAGTGTTAATGAATTGAGTTAATAGAATGTAGGATATGACCGTGAAATGTTTCACAGCTCTCTTGAGAAAATTAATGTAATGTCCTGCTGACCTCTAGTGGCCACTCCTCTACATAGGCGAGAGCGACTCTGCTCCTCTAATAAATCCACTGTATGAACTACATAACTGTATGCAAGAAGACAGATGTCAATGTTGACTGTGTACTGTCTCTCCCGACTTGTGCAGAGAGGTTATTGAGAAGAAGCCGGAGGTGTTTAAAATTGCCTGTCTCAGCGACATCAAGGACCTGTTCAACCCGCAGAGAAAGCCCTTCTACGCGGCATTCGGCAACAGGACTAACGTAAGCAACGCTGCAGACGGACTCTTTAAACTTCAGCAACAAGTGTATTGTCAGTCAAGGTTCTCCAGGTGCTCGGTTCCATTATTTGGCAGTGAGATAAGCCTCCGGCACAAACCTCTGTGTACATAATCACAAGAGACCATGCCTGTTAAAAGGACAAACCCATGTGTTTGTTGATGTTGTTACATAATATTACTTTTAACACGCACTTCCTCTAACGTACTCTAGCAGGTAGAAATGAAGTGTGAGAAATGTGGAAGTGAAGTCTGGGGTTGTTGCATATAAACACTGGCTAATGATCTCTGATTATGAATTAGTGCTATAGCAGCCAAACAATCTTTTTAGTGCACGTAGATACTGCAAAGGTTAAAGTCACACTGAAGCCAGTCCGTGTAACTGTATTGGTTTGCTGCCTTTCCCTTTTGCAGGATGCTTTCGCCTATAAGCAGGTCGGGGTGCCCGATACCAGGATATTTACCGTCAACCCGAAAGGAGAGCTCATCCAGGAGAGGACTAAAGTCAGCAAGTCCTCGTAAGTGTGCAACAGAACACGGAAAGGAAATTCCTTTCCACCTTTTTTTTTTTTTTTAGGCTTTGAAAAAGTCTGAGAAAGAGACACTGTGGCATACATCAATGCAGGAACCCCCATCAGAAGGAATGGGCTGACAGACACATGTAGCCTTCGGTCGAATAGTCTTTTTTATTTTGCTTGGAGAGGTTCCTAACTGAGGGAAATGACTTGGAGGTATTGAGTGGCAGCCATGATGATGAGAGCTGGTGGAATTCTCTAAAAGCTAAGGAAAGGTGTTCTGATGCTTCCTTTCTTATCTCCTTTACAATAGGAAACACTGCAGCATCCTTTAGGAAAGGAAAGGAGATAATGCCTTCCCAAAATTCATCGTGAAAGCAACATTTTTAAAGCGATGCATGTCAACAATTACATGGCCTCGCGTTAGTGCAGTCGAATTCTCTCAGCACAGCTGTTGTCTTTTCCTAAGTCCTTATGACTTCTCCTCATGATGTTTTGCATCGGGGTCAAGGAAAAGTGGTTAGGAGAAGACAGGACGTATTTTTTGACTGTTCGACCGCAGCCTAACCCTAACCTGCACCCATTTTCACTGGGATTGTTGATTTTGCTGCAAGCACCAAAATAATACCACAGAGTTAAAGATGACACAGTTGCATGAAAGCTGTGCACATACAATATGAACAACCAGACAATTTTGAACTTCCACATGTTTGTCACCAAAAGCCTGAGTCCTTTTCTCTGTGTGTGTTTTGCAGGTACAGCCACCTCAGTGAGTTGGTGGAACATTTCTTCCCCATGCTCTCTGTCGGGGGCAGCACGTCCTCTTCGTTGGACTGTCCCGAGTACAGCAGTTTCTCCTACTGGAAGGAGCCTCTGCCAGAACTTGACCTGGATGCACTACTGTAGACACACACACACACATCTACCAAAAGCCACACACACGTTTTAAAGCAAACACATATACTCTCTTTGTTTTTTTCCTTTTCCAGAAAGGCATTTGAAAGGATTATTCCCACCATGCCTGAATATTGCCTTTGAATAAACTGGAAACATAAAGAGGCGACTGTCCCACAATTATGTCATAATATGCATGGACTCGACATTTCAAAAATATGTGTACAAATCATGCAGTCCTTAGTCTCTGTGCTTGTTCACAGACTATGGCTGTTGACACAATATTTTGCTGAATGTAAAATCCAACATTGAACACGACACAACTGGACGAATACGCCTTTGGACAGTTTTTTGTGGTTGTGTGTACCAGTACCATGGTCATTCCAAAATAATCAATTTAAACCGTATTAACACTGTCTTAATTTCAGCTCTGTACACTAACCAAAAACACATTTGAGATGCCTAAATGCTGCACATTGCCAAAGCTATTGCCTGTTTTCTGTGGCTGATCTGGACATTTTCAGTTCACTGCTGGGAGCTCGTGCCCAAAGCTCAAACAGACCCAGGCACACACTGCTATTAAACCAACATGGCTGTGTAGTTGGCAAAGGAGCGTCGAGGGGGTGATTTTTATAGCTACATGTACCGATCAACAAATGTGGTGTGAGACGGTAGTAAGTATGAGTAAACTGGGGTTTGCCCGGAGCAATATTTAGCATTATTCTGTTATTGCGTTTTCTAACTGCCTTTGACTCACCTGAGCTATAAGTAATAAGAGCTTTGGATAGGAAGCTAGATTTTAGGTGCCAAGTGCTGAATCAATCGGTAGCATTATTCTTTTCTTAATACCTGAGGATTTCAAGTTGATCTGAGCATATGATTAATGTGAAACTACAGCATGCACATTTCACATTATCTTCCTTTCAGGTGCCTCACTACCAAGTTTAGAGATGTTTGTACATGAATGCAGAGGTGAGTGAGACTGACGATGACTTTTTTTCCAGAGAAGTGTCAACAAACCTCGGAGGGGAACTGTAGTGGTTTAGCCTGGCACTGTGCCTTTGCCCTTTGTACTATCATGACTGTCATATTTATTATGTTTGCATATCTCTCGTTGTCCAATTGTGTGGAGATGCATTGGAGCTGAGGATTTTGCTTTTACTTTTTTAAACCAAATGTATAGAAATATAAATAAATGAAAATTAAGTTAACTAATTTGCATTCATTCTTTTTTTTGTCGCACTTCATTGCAAGAGCTCACAATTTCCAATGGCTGTCATTGCGGAATGTAGAACAACAACGTGACAGTTGCCATATTAGACAGTAGGGGGTAAAGGTTTGGCACACGTGAAGTCGGGCTGAAACATGCTGAAGATGGATGACCTCATTGAGCTCCAATGGGAAATGGGAGTGTTGCTGAAAGGCGGATTTGACGTCTGATCGCCGCGTTCGTGCGTTTTATTGACTCTTATCTGAACAGGAAGCCCCGACGCGACACGGTACAGTAATAGGTAAGCCTCTTTTTACACTTGTTTTTTACTTTTAGCGACGACTAATCCATATTTAGGATAGTTATTAGTTCAGAATTAGCTTGAGCGTATTAATAATTATATCGACCTAATTATTTCGTGAGGAAGCAGAGCCAAATTAATTGCAATCAAAGATATATATACCCTGCAGCGGAATAAGTCTGCCAGTGTACAGTAAGTGTGATTAAACATGGAGGAATCCAAACGTGATTTGGCCGCATGGAGGTCCTGTTCGCAGGACATCGAAACTAACCCGACGAGTCTCGCATTGCCAGAACACCCAAAGTTAAACAGACGACAGTGTGAGCTACGTTGTTACATCTCCTTATTAAACATTCACGGCCAATAGACGCATTTAGACATTCCTCGATGAAACCTTGGTCCAGCTTGTGTCCAGTTTGGTCTGTGATTATACTTGCATGCGCAGACTGGGTTGCTTGTGCTGTGCTGAGTCATGCTGGGGACGCATTGGTAACTTCCTCAGTGTTTTTTACACCTGCAAGAAAGATAATGTATGTTCTCAGTATTGTTGTTTATAGCAGTTTATATTCAGTTAACACTTGGTGAATACTTTATACACTTATTTATGCACTATACACATATATTTTATGACTCAGAATGTTTGCGTTGGATTACTTTTAGGCCAACTCATTTTTCTTTTTAGATATCCATGTTTGGGTATAAAATTAACAGAACATAAATTGGCATATATATATATATATATATATATTTGGTGTTTATTTATAACTTTCTTAGTGAGAGGGGACTCATTACTAAACTGGCTATGACCCAGATATGTTTATACTTTTTTAATTTTTTACCTTAAATTATTTTCAAATGGTAAATACTTTCTTTAAAAATGACAAAGTAAGACATTATTGACAGCTTTTCAAATGTGAAACATATTAAGCGTCTCAGAAAAAATAAATAAAAACACAACAAATTATCAAGTTTCCTTCCATTAAATGTAACACTTACAGATTGACTTGCAGTTTATACATTCTCATAATTCTACGGTGCAAAAATAAAAAGCATCTCAAAGTATCAACTGTTCAGCAGGATTCTAAAAAGCACTTTCTTATCTAATCTCAACTTCCTTCCTTTTTGAACCTCGAATCAACTTTCTACGTATCAACTCGATACGTAGAAAGTTCACACTTAAACAAAGTTAAATAATTCAGCCAAGTTCATCTTATAAACTATACTTTTCTCTGAGGTCTGACTCTGAGTTATCTGTTTGTTTTTCTAGGGCCTGTCACCATGTCTGTGAGTGAGACTGACGCAAAGTTTTCAAAAATGGATCATCCAGAAGCTTTAGCTTTAGAGCTCAAGTGCCCCATCTGCCTGCAGCTCTTCTCTGAGCCAGCTTCTCTTCCGTGTGGTCACATCTATTGCTTTGCCTGCCTTCACACCATGGGAGAAGGCCTTGACCAACACAGCTGCCCTGAGTGCCAGGCAGAGTACCAGGGCACCAAAGCCCTTGAGAAAAGCCTCAAAATGTGCAGCATCATAGAGACCTACAAAGCCACTGCTGGTAAAGTCAATTCCACTGGCATCCCTCCTGATGTGGGCCATGTAACGATCAAGAGTGCCGACAGCTCCGTTACAGAAGAGTCAAACGCAAAACACCACCAACACACAGCAACAGCTGGACCGAGCCGAGAGGAGAGCTCGGCGCGTACGGGAAAGCACGGCGTTCAAACTGGGTCTGGATCCACAGAGCACTCCTTTTCTTTGGCTCAAGAACGAGGCAGCGGCAAAGGCAAGATGGAAATGGATGAACCTAAATTTAGAATGGCGTCTCAAGTCACAGAGTTGAGCCTCAAGTTGGAGATGGCAGAGAGTGTGCTGAGTAAGGAGAAGGAACGGGAGTTGGAGGTGACCACTGCTAACGGTCAGCTGAGAGAGAGAGCGCGCAGACTTTTAGAGCAGATAACCGAGTTGTCGCAGAGCTACACCGCGCAGGTGATGCAGCTTATTGAGGAAGAGCTCGGTCCAGGCGAGGCTAGCGTGGGCGGTCGAATCGGTCAAGCGTCTGAGCTGACAAAGCAGCTGAGGCAAGCCATGCTCAGAGCGGAGTCCCTTCTGACTGAGGACGACGAGGCTGCATTCAGTGACGAGCTTCGGACTCTACAACCACACATTGTGGAGTTAATGGCCAGGCCCGTGGGCGAAGAGGACGACCACGTCGAATCAAAAGTCAACTCTGCGCGCGCCTGTCCCAAGCTGGAGGAAATGAACGCTGCGTTCAGGGAAAGATCTGGAGAGATTCAGCGCTCCCTTCGAAACACCCTCAACCCTTCAGAGGTGACTTTTGACCCAGAAACGGCCCACCCCAACCTCGTCCTCTCAGGGGACTTGAAGACGGTGACGTTCAGCACTGCCAAACAGCCCTACCCATCCTCTCCTCAGAGGTTCACCAACTTCCTCCAGGTCCTCAGCACCCAGAGCTTCCATGAAGGCGATCATTGCTGGGATGTGGAGCTCGATGGTTCTCCGTGGATCTTTGGTGTGTGCTACAGCGGGAAGCTAGCACGCAGCGGGTTGCCCTCCGCTCTGGAAGGCAGCCGATACTCCTGGTGTCTGATGTGGTTCAACAACTTGCTGACAGCCTTCGAGCGGGGTCATGATGTGCCGCTGAAGAGGACCACCGTGTCACGCAGGCTGGAGATCAGACTGAGTTTCAAGACCCACAGGCTGAGCTTCTACAACGTGAGCCCCAGCAGCGGAAAGACTCATGTGTACACATTTAAGGCTAACCTGACTGAACCAGTGCACCTGGCCTACAGGATGATGTCAGGGGACCCTAAAGGCCGTGTCACTGTTTATTCATAATCATAACTGTATTTCTATGAACTATATATCCTTAGCAAATGTGATGCAGACAGAGAAAAGTAATAATATTTTTGAGACTTTGTATGATAATTTAACGTCTTTCATTGTGTCTTGATAGAAGACCCTGATCACCCACTTACTTCAGCCTATTATTTTGGATGCTTTGTGTGGTAATATATGACTGCTTCTCAAGTCTACATAGGAATAATAAACATAAATGTGACTGAATTACTTGTTGCAGTGTGCCTGAAACGTAGTTTTCAAAATGATGTGCCAGATATTGTGTTTTTATGTTTTTCTATTTCTATCTAATAAACTCTTTACACACTGGGCCTTTTTCACAGCAGACTAAAGCATAGGTTTGCTGAAATGAAGACAGCTAAATGGAATTCAGCCATCATTAATTTAATTATTTGCACTTGCGCTTTTCCTACTGTGACATGTCCAAATGTCCTCAATGAAAAAACCCTATTCTATTCCAAGCTTAATAATGTAATTCATCATATTCATATTATTACATCCGAAGCAGATGACAATCTCTAGTCGTGTGTATTTTACTTCACTTGACTTGAAATATAGAAGGAAAAAAAAAGAGCAATAAACTACGTCACAATGTGATCTCGCGAGACTTCCCCTGCTTGTTTGGTGAGAGTGTCAGCTGACCTCACTGGGGAGATTTTTGTTAAGGAAACTATCCCCAGTACAGCTATGTCCCGTATCGGTGATCAGTTTATTGATCGATTACAGCGTGTATGACGGCGTGTAACGCATCTACTGAAGTCATATTATTTCTAAAAACATTTCACAGCACTTGTACCACTGAATCGGTAAGATATTTTGTTTTTAACCAGTTGAAGCTGTCGTTACGTTGGGTCGGCGTCATCGCACTTGCACTAGTATCACGTTTGTTTTGATGCTAACGTTAGCTTTTATAAACAGTGGTATCTTTCCACACAAGTACTGTCATCTTTACTGTATTTGTCTGTTAGGGAAGCTCGGAGAGGTGTTGTTTTAATTCACAAAACAACCCATCCTCCGACAGCAGTTAGCGTTAGCAAGGTTAGCGTTAGCCAACGTCTGAAATCCCCTTCGCTAACGGAAAGTATTCTGATAAATGCGACTTGATGGGTAGATAGGTGAGGCTATGTTATGATTAACTAGCTTAACTTAACCCGTTACCACCACAAACTAACGCCAGCGAGAGCCGTCTTGAGTTGAGACCTCTTGTCATTTTATGTTGTTTACTATAGCCAAGTTATAGTTTCATGTTAATTCTCCTGTTGTTAACGCTAACAGGATTAGTTTATTTCTATCGTTTCGAACTTTAAATGTAACACCACACATAACTATATGGCCGACAAAACAGTCTATCTAGCTAGCTAGCTACATTATGTGTATCTTAAAGTGTAGAAAGCTGTGACAGTCGTACACCTCAACAACCATCTGTAACGCTAGCGGAAGCAACATACGTTTGAATTTCTCAAGTGTTTTACTAACTCTTGCTCATATTGAACTATGATATACGATAAGAGGATTCAACATCCTTGTATGTAGTCAGAGGACCTTCCCGTAACTAAGACCTTTTTATTTGTTCCCCCTCCTTTAGGGTCCGACACCATGCTAGCCACAGTGACTGCTGTGGTTAGGTTTGCCCTATACAATGGCAGTATTGCACCTGCACCATTGGAGAACACGTCAACATTCCCAACATGGCAACCTGATGCTGAGGCCAACATCTCAAAGCCTCACAAATGTCTACAAGTTTTGTACGAGGACGTTGGAGACTCCAGGTAAAGTTGAAACCTTTTGAAGTGTGGCATTGCAATAAATACAAAATGAACTACTGTACTTGAAACAACATTTTTTTCAGAAAGTTCTGTATTCATCCCCCCTCACGTTTATCTCTCCGTCTCAGGGTGCGCTTCTGGGACATCTTACTGCTCGTGCCGAATGTGGCCTTCTTCGTGTTCCTGATGTGGAAGCTGCCCTCAGCCCGGGCAAAGATTAGACTCACCTCCAGCCCCATCTTCGTCACCTTTTACTTGCTGGTATGACACAAGCTACAGAAACACCAATAGTCACCATAGTCGTTATTTTGAGCGTGGCATTGTGCCACACTGTGAACTCTATTAATAAGAGTATTTCAGCCCATAATGTAAGATGGCTGCAGTGTTGAATTGATGCCCCAAAAAGTCTGAAGGGACAGTGAACCTGTTGATACCTTACATTGTTGCTATAGGCTATACTTTTCCTCTAATTCTACTCCAGGACATGTTTTTATTGGCCTGAGAAGACAGATTCTTTTATATAATCTAACATATATATTTTTTTATAAACTGTATTTGTCAGGTGTTCGTTGTAGCGGCAGTTGGAATCACCCGGGCCGTCGTGTCCATGACTGTCAGTGCGTCCAGTGCTGCAACCATCATAGACAAAGTAAGGAAGCAAATTAAACATAAATATAAAATGTTACAATGTGGGCAGGATGTAAACAGTACATATGTAAGGCATGTCTTTATTTTTCAGATTTACTCTTCACTTTATTTTACTGGAAACATATAAACTTTCCAAAGGGTTCCCCCCCCCCCCCCCCAAGTGTGGGTTTCTTGGGAGTTTTTTTTAAATTCGCTGGTAGTAAATGACAGATTTCAGCTTTGTAGCGTAAATACTTATACCAAACTGAAGTAGCTGTCACCATCTCCTCCTCTATTGAATACCCAGACTGGCTAATATGAGCTTCAGCATGACTTTGTTTGGCTTTCATGTCCGAAGGGAAAGGCATGGCTGACATTCCTCACATACCAGACCGATCCCTATGGAGTTCAGAGGGATGAACTGCTCCCATAGCACACTGCACTGTTGAAGAAAGACATACACATGGTGATATATTGTGACCTGACGTATGTTTCAGGTCAACACTGTTGCTCTGCCACAGTGGATCCTCATTATGCCTGTTGTCTCTTCAGGTGCTGTGGGAAATCACCCGCTTCTTCCTGCTGGGGATTGAGCTCAGTGTCGTCATCCTGGGACTGGCTTTCGGTTCGTTCGCTCTGCTGGTTTCAGTTCTCATTTACTGTATATTTGACCCAGTGTGGTGTTTTTGTCTCTTTTCACATGATGGATCTATTTCAAATGTTTGGTTAATAATGCCCCCTTTTCAGCCCTGAATCTAGTTATGAATATAACTGAATGCCTGTGTAGTTTTTGTTTCTGTTAAGCTTGTTTCTTTATTCATTTATCAGGTCACCTGGAGAGCAATTCTAGTATAAAGCGAGTGCTGGCTATCACTGCTGTGCTGGCTCTGGGCTACTCCATCACACAGGTAATGACGGATGATGGGAGGAGGCAGGACCTTTTTGGTAAGTTGTCATTCTGAATTCAGTGGAAAATAAATGCTATATATTGTTCTAGGGCACACTAGAGATCCTGTATCCAGACAGTCACCTCTCTGCTGAGGACTTCAACATCTACGGTCACGGAGGACGCCACTTCTGGTTGGCCAGCTCCTGCTTCTTCTTCCTGGTCAGTAACCTGTAACATCATAAAAATAAAACTCATAACTGATGTCTAACTATAGATTGATGATGTAATCCTTTTTTCATAGGTGTACTCTTTGATCGTGATCTTGCCTAAAACTCCAGTCAGGGAGAGGATATCTCTTCCATGTAAGTTACGCATGTCGATGCAGTAGAGATGAGAAATTAGATTTGAGGTTAAAAGATTTGTATCATGTAACCCATGTAAATATATGACTGCATGATGACATCTAATTGAAGGAATTTGTCCTCTGTTGCCCATTAATCTTTGTTTTACTCCCTTTGTCCAGCTAAGAGGAGTTTCTATGTGTACGCTGCCATCCTGTCTTTACTGAACCTGGTGCAGGGCCTGGGCAGTGCTCTGCTATGTGCTGGAATCATAGAGGGACTCTGGTCAGTACCATCCTCTTTAGTGTTCTACCAACAAATCCACACGTGGGAGTATTTTAGGAAGAAAAAGATAAGTTGAATCGATGGCTTTAAAGGGTGGGATTTATGCGGCATGTGCTTTTTAGAAAAATGTCGTGGCTATGGAGCTGAGTGATTGTTTTTAAACCTTCTTATAGTTGAGTTTGTTGTCTGAGAAGTAACAGGGGGATGATGGACTGTTTTGCTGAGTCCTGTGAGGTTTGGGTGGGGGGGGGGGGGGGGGGGGTTATGAAAACATAACAGATGTTCTGCTTTCGGATTGAACTTTCCTTCTGGCAGAAACCTTTTGGTTGAGCTTTCTGTATCTACTGAAGCTGATCGTGTCCTTATGTCTTTTAGCTTTTAATGAGCTTGTTCACACCGTGTGAAACCCGTCTATTTTTGTGTCTTTCTGAAACAGCTGCGTGGATGTCACCACCTTCCTGTACTTCTCCGCCTTTGCGCCACTCATTTATGTCACATTCCTCAAGGGCTTCTTTGGGTTTGTACAAGGAATTGTGTCGCATAACAGACTACTTCATAGTTGACAGTTGCCCTTGTTTCTTCCTTATTTCACCACTTTCTTCCTTTTCCACAGGTCAGAGCCCAAGATCCTGTTCTCTTACAAGTCGCAGGTGGACGAGCCGGACGAGAGTGACGTCCACCTTCCCCCGACCGTCGCCACGTCTCTTGGTCGCAAGGAGCTGACCGACCAGGGCCTGTTCTACTCCTCCACCCAGATCGACGGCTCTGGTCCCAGCAGCACCCGTATAGTCGGAGCGGACCTAGATGACGTAGCCTCCGGACCCTATGGGTCCAGCAGCATTAACAGCATGGAAGCGGACCGCTGGAGACCTATCAACGCGTGAACGCATGAAGAGGAGAACAGAGGTGGTCATACAGCTGGACTCAGATGTTTGTGTAATGCAGGCTGGCCAAAAAAAAAAAAAAATGCAGAACAAAGTAGTCGGAACACCAAGAACGGGTAATCCTGGTCTTGCTTTAACGCCGGGATAAGTTAACAAGTGGACACTTAAAGGAGATAGCTTTTTCTAGCATATGATCTGGAGGACTGTGGTTTACTGCTTTGGTAACACTGTTGCCAGAGTGTACTGCTGCTGTAGCGCCACACTAGAGGAGTCCTGTCCCTGATTGTGGCACCGTGTGGATTCTGTTCAACGCGCCCTTGAATGTGTGGAGCTTACTGACTCAGCACATTTTCTCTCATTCCAGACTTCGAGTGTCGGCTGCTCAATCCCCCAATAATTGAGTTTTAACCCCATTTTAAGTACCCGAGTCTTTAAAATCTAACATTCTTTTGTTGGCAACTCAACATCTGTACATTCCTAGAAGCTTTGAGTAACGGCATCTAAACTCACTTTGTCTGCTGTCTTCTGTTAGATGTGTGACTCAACTGGCTACAGCTAGTTCCTTTTGATTGGTGTACCGTCTTATGAAATAGGAACAAAAGTGTTAATAAGTGTGATGTGTGTCACTGCAATATGATAAGATCATTAATGCCTAAATACAAGCAGGGCATTGACGCGTATCACAAACCATCTGTAACGCTCTCTACCAGGAATCATCTGTCATTTCTCTCTTTAATTCATTCTGGACTTTTTGCTTTAATGTCTTATACCAGATTAATAATTCCTGCTACTGAAAGCACATTTGTTAGCTTCACGGCCATTTAGAAGGACTTATTACATGTGTGATTTGAACAACAGACCTTAGACATGCCCTCCCTCATTCCATATCGGCAGATCTGGTGCATCTCTGCTTGCTGATACAAAGCTTTTAGTTTTATGCCAATATCTATTGCTCCTGCGGTTGTATTGTCCAGACTGTTTATTAGAAGTGCTCAAATTAGACTATAAACAAAATCGATAAATTTAATGGTATTAAATGATGGTATTGATGCAGTGTAATCCTATAGATCTTAACTACATATTGAGAGAGGCTCAGGCCACCGGTATGTTCGATACGGGTCATTATAAGACGATGTCAAGAGAAAACTACTGGAATGTGGCACAACAAATTATCCACATATTGCAAATATGCTTCTTTGTTCAGCCCATTAAATCAGTTATTTCACATATCTTGGTATTACTATAATATCATACTTTAGTCTTTATAAAGCACCACACATCACATTTACTTATTCCTACCAAGGAAGTTTGATGTTTGAGTTTCCCCCTGAAAATGCTATATGTTTGGTATGAATGGACTACTGGATTTAAGCTAGCAGTATTCATGGATAGTAGGGACCTGGATGCAGAAAACACAGAGATGCGTTTATTTCTTTCCATCATTTTAAAAGCAACAACGCTGTAAAGAAGTAGCGTATAACCAAGAAATTACAGTACTTGCCTTGACTCTTAGAAATATTATATATTCCAATTTGAGTGCCGGTGATTACTGCTGTGTGTAACTTAAGAGTTAGAGTTGTGTTTAGGGAATCGGTTCGCTGATTCGTGACATGGGTTGGAAAGGTGCAATTATTACGGAAGTCCTCTCTCTTGGTTGATTTTTGGTGTTTAAATCATTTTGCAAATGATCTGTAAATTTTGCCTTTTTAAGTGCATTGATTGTATAATATTCAGCCCTTATTAATGCAATGTATTGAGCATTCCGTGACCTACAGAATAAACCATGGACTCGTTCGTTTTGTTTGTTTGTTGGGATTGAACAAGACACCACTCACTGGCTGCTTGGTAATTCAATACTTTCATTTTCAGGACTCGTGACTCCTACTGTGTGTGCGTTTGTTCTGTTTCCTTGGTAGACTGGTTTCCTGATGTTGTGTTTGTCTTTAAACGTCTCGCATAAATCCGACTTCTTCAACTACACTTCCCATCGACCCTTTTAATTCACGCGACTCTTGAGTCATGAGTCCGAATTATTGTATCCGACCAATGAGACAAGAGGATACTGTAGCTCCAGTTTGACCTTTATTGGCTTATTTCAACCACCCGGTCGCTGTGGCGGCGATTCCAGCCGCTCTCTCTCTCTCGCTCTCTCACTTATGTCTCCGTCCCGTCACCCGGCAAGGTTTTTATTATTTTTTATCAACCAGGTGTCAACGGACCGCTGGTGAAAATGGGAGGTAACGGCAGCACGTCGAGGAAAGTGTCATTCGGACTGGACGAGAACGAGAAGGTCACAGTAATTGAAGGGGTGAAGGTAGATGTAATGAAACGTTTTCCTCTTATTGGTAAAATTCAGAGCCAAAGTTTGAGTTGGTTATGATATCGGGTATGTCGGGTAATGGCGGTTAGATAGTAACGCACGGGTAACTGTCTGAGGTTCACTGACAGGTCCCATGTCCTCAAATGAACCCGGTCACACCCGCTGTCCGTTATGCTGCGATAGCGTTACCGGTACACGCTGCTTTAGTCAGCTAACGCTAGCTAAGTTACCTTTATAACAGCTTGAGTTACGTGTGTAGCTTGTAGTAAAATAACATTACAGTAGACATTGACGCAGCTATGACGCAGTGTAACTTTAACTTGCTGACATCTTCATGAGCGTAAGTGTCAGCTAACGCTAGATTAGCTAATTTACGTCAACAACGTTCACTAGAGTAGCGTAGATTTACAGTTACGTTATTGAACTGTAACCTTACATGGAGAGATTTAAGCATAGTTTGCAATTGTATTTCGCTGGTGAACCTTCAAATTGTAACGTTACAGTAGGATTAAATGAATATTGCGTTCATCATATGTAGGCAGTTCGCTACTCGCTGTCTCATTATTCAGGAGGGTCAGAGAGAGGAGAGCCACAGCTGTACAGCAGCACATCTGGAGCATGTCAAGTAAGCAAGAGCAATTCAAGGGCATTTGAGCAGGCTAGATGGTGGACTCCTAAAGGTGTGAGCCTTTAATATGATGCTTTCAAAGACCCCAAAGGGGCTTGTGTGTGTGTATTTATGTGCACATTTGTTAACTCTCACATTCCTGTCCAGCTCTCAGAGGATGTGCTCCGGCGGATGAGGGAGTCTCAGATGAGGGAGTCTCAGGGGTCTGACGGCGCCAAACCACCACCAAGTAAGTCCCAGTCCAAGACCTTTACCTCTCTCACAGAGCGCCCACTGGGAGACCCACTGTGTCAGCAAACCTCACACAGTGACTGACGAATACAGAACAGCGTCAATAAAGGTCAATTTTATGGCTGTGTGACTTCATACAGTAAACCTAAACTGTGTGATTTAGTAACTTACATATATTTGGGTATTTACACTTGGTTAAAGAGAGTCTGTTATTTTCAGGTCCAAAACCAACAGGACCCTCCACTACAGAAGTCCAGGAGGAAATCCGCAGAAAGTAGGTTCTCGTAATGTCACGGTCGCTGTCCCTTTTTGTTTTTCTCCTGCCATATTTGGTGAAAGACCTGCTATAACTCTGCATGGAACTTATGCATTGGTATTGGCTAACTTGGAATTAGATGCCTCCCTTCAGATGTCAATTGATTATTGCAAACTTGTGCAGAATATTTGATCCTGTCCCATAATACATTTAGAGCCCTCTCTGTTGACACAGGCAGCTAAAGGCCAATGAAGTTGACGGATGTGTGAAATAGCAGACACTTGAAGCTAACGTGCAATGTTTATGGAGAACACACGCATGCCGAGTGAGCTGTCAACAACACTGTCTGTGCTAAATGACTCTGTGTGTACAGCGGGCGTGTGGCTATGCTGCTGGAATGCTGATATACTATCCTGCACCTCTATAGATTTACTTGTCAGCAAGTCCAACAACTCTTAGCCTCTGTCACTAAAAATGTTTTAGACATAGTACAATATCCCTACACTAGGTTTTTGTGCAACTGGTGTTTGTTCTCAAGTGTATTTGTAGTGTGATTCAATACTATACTATTATGTTTCACGATAAACCCTTACCTAATTTGATATTAATGTTATACATTAATTGGATTCCACCCAACAATTCCTGAATGCTATAATTAGTCTATGATTTTATGTTTTATTGGCTTTTTTACCAAAATGTTGGTATCTGTGTTGATCAACAGAAGCTAATATCTCGTGCTACCTCGCTAAGTAGCTCTTTGTGTGAACAACACCGTGCATGTTTAGCAGACTTTCACTGGATTAATGAAGGTTAAAAAAAACAGTGCTTATCTTCCCCTAACTCAGCTTCGAGCGTCAGCAGGCTCTGGTGCAGGAGCAGTTGGCCAGACTGGCCCAGAAGGAGAGAGAGACGGCAGCACCCAAGGGCCCGGACGAACTGAACCCCGCCCTCCTCATGGAGAAAGGAAAAGCCCACGAAGAGCAGGAAAGGGCAAAGACACTGGTTAGTGCTGCTTTCTGGGTCTATGGCGTGAGTCAGCTGCACCTGCGTGCAAACCGCAGACCGTCTGTGTTACACAGCAGCTGTCACCATGTGACCATGTCCCCTAAACAAGGAGTTCCTTACACCTTTTATTCAATCTATTTTATCTTAACAGTTATTATTATTATTTACTTTAGTCCTTTCCCTCGTTTTGTAAGTGTGTCCTCTGAAGCTGCAACAGACAAAGACACCAAAGGAGCCCATTGATTATTTTGAGCAAAGATGTGTACATTTAACCTTCATTTTCAACAAACCTCTCTTAGTAAAATAATGCTGTTAAGCCAAAGACGCAATGTTTTAAATTCAGAATATGACTTAATTACACATTTATCCATAATCATTATTTAGCAGGAGCAGTATGTTTCCTCCAGAAAGCCTTTGTAGAACTCAACAGCACCCTCTACTGTTAAGACTGTTAATGGCACCTCTGGACTGAGTCACTGGTGAATTATTGAATTATGAGGATATATAATTATTACTACAACCCTGGTTTCTATATTGCAGAAACGAACACATTTTTGCAAAAGCAGTCGAGAAAAAGTGATTATGATTTTCTAATTTTGATTCTCTATGCTTGTTGTTTAATTGTTAGCAACAATTGTTACGCATTTTTAAAGATTAAGCTATTTTGTGTTTCATCAGTCTGTTTTTATATTTGACCACACTCAGTTGAACCTTGAAATTATGCATCTTATTTGTCATTGTTCAAAGAAAAATGTGAAAATGTTGCTACTTTAATTCAGTTTCTATAATCAGTTTTCACAGCTGTTGCAGTACTTTAGTTTCCGACTACCCTCGATGAATCTCTGCACTGAAGAGGTCAATGTGTGTGGTGTGGGAGCAATATAAATAAGAGACGTACTAGTATCTGTTTAGTTTATTTGCACAATTTAGAAAATACACAAACATAACAGAGATAAATAACACGACAGCGCAGGAAACCCACCGGGCTTATTGGAAGCCTCCACCTAAATAATGTTAAACTGTCATTATATTATAGAGAACACAAACATAAGATATGACTATGTACTATTGATGACAAAGTATTTTAACTAAAATACAGGATATATAACAATACTTTATCATCAACAAAAACCTGTACTTTATCAGAGCAGGGACATGTGATGGTCCTTGTAGCCTGTAGGTTAAAACTATGATCATCCATTTCAACAATCTATATATTAACAATAACAGTATTCACTATAGGATGATGAACGATGACTTCTGCTATGAATGTTAACACTTATACCCGTCGCAGTCACATAGTTCAGATGCATTTCTGTCATCTGAATCCCCCCCGCCTCGCAGCAGTAGTCTGGTTTCCAAAGCGCCGCGTAAAGAAGAAACCTTAGTGTGCCTTTTGTGTTTACATTTAGATAAAGCGATGGCATTGATTGTTGCTTTTGTGTGTTTCTGTGTGATAGCTCTGCTTTGTCAATGTTTAAAATTGATGTGCAGTGATCTATTGCTGATCATTAATTTGTGATTACCTCCCCGCTGTTTTTTTTTTAAAATTTGTTAATATTGAACACTCTGGATTTTCTTCAACTCTGTCTCTCCTCTCTAATTAATTCGTCCTGCAGCATCTTTTTTTGTTGTGCCGGCGAGCTGCGCTGAATACTGACTGAAGCCGTTGGCTTAGCTCACACTGATACGGGCTCAATTTAATGATGTTGCATCACAATGTGAAACTGAACACTCTTAACTCACAGCTTTGTTTTCTACTTTTTCCTGACTTGACAAGTCAATTCATCCAGTGTGTGTGTGTGTGTGTGTGTGTGTGTGTGTGTGTGTGTGTGTG